TTAAGTGTTTTCATACACTTTAAGGGAGTTTGTTCCCTTGTTGTAAACTCGAAGGAAGTTTCTTGTTCCTTCGTGAGAAGTCTTGGAGTGCGGTATCTCCGAGCAAAGGTGTTGAGGCTCGTGTGACTAGGGTTCTCAAGTTGTATCGGTTTGTTAAGCACCCTTAAGCTTAACGGAGTTAGTGTAGCTCGAGAGAGTCTCTCGGGGGGCTGGATTAGCCACACGTTGTGGTGAACCAGGATAAAATCCGGTGTGCTCCTTCTTTACGCTCTTTACTTTAACGCTCTCGTTTTAATTTCCTGCAATTTTGTTTTAAACGCTATTCCCCCCCTTCTAGCGTTGGGCCTTTATTCTAACAATATCGTCCAACTTCATTCAGTGACCCCGCGATCGCCCTCTGAACGATAAGAATAAGGTAAAGCTTAAATATAGTTTTTATACTCTATTAATTTATCAGTCTCGACTAAATGAGTTTCACTATTCGTTGTTTGTTGAACTATATGTTCAACTTAATGAGTTTCACTATGTGAAACGAATCTCTAGATGAGTTTCACTATGTGAAACAAATATCTAGACGAGTTTCAATGTGAGAAACGAGTCTCTAGATGAGTTTTGCTGTGTGACAAACAACTCATTTGAAACGAATCTCTATAAATCAAGGCGCCAACCAATCATCAACACGAATCAACTGTGGATCAGTTGTTTCAGTCTTATAGGAACGGTTCACAACTAGAGCCTTAAAGAAATCTCCAACATTAGATTTGTTAGGAAAATTGATTTGGGACGATCATGTCTAGGAATTGATGGTAAAGTTCAATATATTTAGTACGAGGGTCTCCCATCGATCTTGGTCATGATAAGGAAAATTGTATGCACATGGCAATATAGAAAGTAAGGAGGAAAGGGCATGGCCAGAAGAATTGTGTGAAATAAGAGGATTGATATAGTTCATTGCGCTTGTTCTTTCTAGTGAAGGGAGGTGGCTTGAAAGCCTATCTTATTAGCCTTATCAGAAAGGAGAAAGATTTCCTAGTTTTGGATTTTATCAAAATATTAGAGCCAGTCAAATATGCAAAATTATTGTATTATTGTAGAGGGATGGTATTAATTGGGTAAATACCCGACATGCTTGGAGCTACATCAATAGTTGCTCCACTAACTCGTGATTTCGTGACTCCTAAGTCCTACACATATACCCGCTTCATAATCCATCAAAGTATCATTCATACCCACTTTAAGTGGGTCAAGTGCTGGGTTGTATTATTTTTTATTCGCTCACTCCCATCCCCACATATGATTATAAACATATAATTATTGGAGTTAATTTTAATTTAATTGTATGATATATTTAAGTTTATGACTGATAGAAAATATTTTTTGATTTAATTGTTTATTCCCTATGAAAAACACACAATGAGTAAATATCTAAATAATTTAACTACTTAACTTGTTATATATTACTAAGATTTCAGCTAGGATGGAAGGTAAGTTTTACCGATACTTACGCAGATATGCTATGATGTATGATGTTGAGTGCTATGTAATTGAAAAAATTCACGGTTGTCAATTGCATGTTACAAAGGAAGAGACATCTACTTGAGTATACATACTATACTACACACACATACGTACATTAGTATTTAATAACAAGTAGTTAAATTAATTTGTTAATTGTGTCGTTGCATGTTTTTCATAGCCAAACAAGTAATTCAGACTAGACAAACAAATCAAAAAAAAAATTCAAACGTCTTGAACATTAATGCATCATACTCAACTAATTAGAACTAAGCCTAAATAAACATATATAATCATATGCAAGGATGAGAGTGAGCAGATAAAAAATGATACAACCATGCACCTAACCGACTTAAAGTGGGAATGAATGATACTTTGATGGATTATGAAGCAGGTGCAGGTTTAGAAATCATATAGTAACGAGTTAGTAGAGTGATAGTTGATATAGCTCCAAGCTTGTCTGTATTTATCTGATGAGTTAGAAGAGTGATAGTTGATGTAGTTCTAAGCACGTCTGTATTTATCTGATTATCCCTCTAAAGGTGTTATACTATTTTGCATATTTGGGTGGCTTTAATATTTGTCAAAGAACATCCATAACGTCTCCGGATGGTGTTAATGTTTAGATGTACAATTTGTATAGTTTCGAGGGGCCCACACACTTTGAAAAGACGAGGTTGAGGTAAGTGGTGCGAGGTCTACATAGTCATGAACTTAAACCACGTGAATATTAATGTGGTAGTACATCAGATATCAATCAAGCTTCACAACCTAAGAGTCAGGGATCGAGGCAAGGGTGGATGACAAGTAGCGAGAGTGGGAGGTGACATGGTAGGGGTTGACACGAGTAGAAGGGAGAGGATGGTGGGATGGGGAGGGGAGTAAGGGGCTTTGAGTAAATAGTAAATTTCCTCCTGAAGTAAATGGAGATCATTTGAGAAAATATTTTCTACCATTTATATTATCACAAATTAGAAATGAAAATTTTTTAGAAATATTTTTCTTCTATCAAACCGTTTTAAGACTCATTGCGGTACTCAGCGACGCCGTGGATACAGGGGATGCAGCGAGAGTAAAACCCTAGAGCCGCCTTTGTCTCTCGCCCCTGATGCGGAGATCCATTATAAATGCGGAGTATAAGGTTTAATTCTGAAAAATTCGCAACTTCTCGTTCTTAGTTTGTTTTAGTTTATTTGAAATCGAAGACTGAGTTTGGTTCGCCATTTTTTCCATTTTTAGATCTCGTTCTCTGATGGCGATTCGATTTTGGATTTGACTTTCGGAGCTATGGGCAACCCAATTATGGTATTATAATTGCCCTGTGATTTTGTTTTTCGAACTGTATACGAGTGAATGCTTTGATTTTCTGTTAAAGTTTGTGATTTTCCTACCGTTATTTTCGTCTATTTGGGCATTCATGCTCCAAGTTAATCGTAGGTGTTGAAATAATCCTATAATTGGTTGCCCCATAGCTTCCAAATCAAACCCAAACACAACTTTATTATCTGGACCACTGGTTTCTATACTGGAGCTTCGTCATCCTCTTCCTTTTGCTTGTTTGGTGGCATTCTTGTGTGACTATGGGGCATCTAATGGGTTAGTATCCCCCCTCGTGGAATCTACTGCTCTAGGTCACTGGATTGCAGCTCAGAATCTACTGAGGCCATTGATCAAGGATCTGCCCTGCTGTGGTCCCATTTTTATTTACTGAAAGGTTATGTCTATTATGATTGGTATGGTATAGCTTCTTTTTTTGTTGTGTGATAAATAACTAAGGCATACATTTCAAGGTCACTAGCTGGACTTGAGGTTGAATACTCTTATACTCTGCAAGTCCTAAAGTTTGTTAATGACTTGTCTTTCAAAGTGTTTCATTGACCCATATAGATTGAGCTCCTTTTTGTGTGATAGCACAAGTATACCCATTTAAACCTCTGTGGTATGAACTGAGAAGGTACATTTCTCTTCGAAAAGGTAAATTTTGACCTTCCAAGATTTTAGTTAACTCATATGGAGTGTTGTTTTAAGGGGCACATCACAAACAACGATTAGGAGATAACACAAAGCAGTTAACAGTTTGTTTAGCAGATTTGGTGGATAGTTAGCAATGACCATTTTAAAAAGATATCTGGTTACTTAGCAATTAGCATAATGCTAAAAACTAAAACTAAAGTGATGTTTTCAAATTGTTAATCCTATTAACAGTTCTAACACAGCATTTTTATGAGCGTATTGCTTATTCAAAATCCTCTGTTATTGAACTCCGTAATCCACCACTCTTACCTTTTTACAATGTTGTTTTGAGTCACAATGCCAAAAACAGCATAATGCTAAGTAAGATGTATTTTGCAGAACACCCCCTAAGTCCCAATATCATTTTCCCTCTGATGGTTAAATCTGCTTAAAAATTAAATGAATCACTTAAATGGAGCTAGTTGTGTTAGCTTTTGCTATCTCTGGGATTATTTTGAAGTATTGGTATTTTTTTATCAACACATAAACCTCAAAACATTTCAACAAATATAAAATCAATAGGCTACGTACTAAGTACCAATTAAGATTTGCATTATTGCGAGTCCATAAAGTGTCAAACACAAACATATGACATGATCCTACACCATCTTTCAAGATGAAAGTTCAATCATATGCGTTGCAAATTCATAACCCAATATTAAGGTTGAACAAACACACAAGCATAACGCAATATAGAAATATCATGACTCGAAGGCCATTTGAAGAATCTTCATATCTTATATCCATATCAGCATGCATTTGATCCCTATTAAAATCCCCCCCATTCTTTTTCATCACCACCTCTATTACTTAGATTTTTATTCTTACTGTCCTTTGAGTATCACTCTCATTGCTTGAAACTTTATGTTGCTTGAGTTCGTTGTCTCCCTTCCAAAAAAATCAACACCAAGGTTATCCCTAAATACACTTGGTTCCCCACCATTTTCACCCACAAGCCACTCATCATCAATGGCCACCATTTTTCTTGTCCATTTTTTAACCTTTTGTGGAATAGGAATTAGACCAAATTTTTCATCCCGATAGCTGTCAAATGTTTTCATTTATTTCTCTGTATTTGATTGAAGGTATTCCAGCTTTCTTTCACACCTAGATGATGAAACAAGACCTAACACTTTTAGCACAAAGTTTGAAGTTCAGGAGTGCCATCTCTATATTGAATTCACTCACCATTCAACTGAAAAATGAAATGTTATTGCCAAAAAATAGAGGTTTAAGCACAGAAAATTAATTCTTTCAAAGTAACAGATACTTTAGTACTCTTTTTATGCAGGTAACTATTTTTGCAGTTGCAAATTGACCGATCATCTTTTTCCTAGAAGAACAATCAATGCTCAGTATGGATGTCAAGAGCCCACTCGAGCAAACACTCCAATATGTTCTTAGGAAGATCAATCCTTCAAAAGATGACTGGTCCTTTAGAGTTCAGATTATAGAAGAACTCCGAGCTATTGTGCAACCTATAGATAGTTTGAGAGGTAGTTAAAATATGCTTTACTGATATATTCTTATTTTGTGTCACTTATGCCTTAATTAGTTGGAAATCGTGATTCACTCATTTTATTTTGTACATAAAAAATGTTGCAATATTCTGTCACATTAAAATGTTAGATAAAATAATTGAACCTCCAAATATATATGATGTTTTTTATAACAGCACAAACTCCATCTACAATATCAATTGGTTTTTAGATAGCCACAATCCATTGTAAAATGGGCAAAATGCAATTAATGAATCACTTTGACATTCCACATTCCAAAAAATGTATGGCTAACATTATATTTGTGATATCTCTTTTTGTGTGAGCCATATTGTTGTGGCTTTTGAGGGTTTGCTAATTCTAAGGGATTATGGTGTTTTACTTATGGTTAAACCCCCTTAGTAACCAAAGCTACTTTAGTTTATTACTTTGACCTAGCAACTTCAAGTGTTACCCTATTAGAAAAGGGAACATGCCATGTGGCCTACAAGCCTAATTCTAGGGAATGTAGCTAGTGCTAAATGCTAAGTTAGAGCATACAACCATTTCCTTTGTATTGCTGTGTTTCTTCACATTCATTTGGGTATCATTTTTAATAAGTTGTGGCTAATTGTCTATGTGATGAGGGCTATTTTTATCTGTTAAATTCTATAGTTCTGGATTTGTGTTTGCTTCTTTGCAATTATCTGCTTCCATTAGTTATTTAGTTACAAATATTCAATGTTATAGTTTGGCTTATATTTTATAACAGGTGCGACAGTGGAACCATTTGGATCTTTTGTGTCTGATCTCTTCACAAGGCATGGAGACCTCGATATATCGATAGAGATGGCTAATGGTTCCTATATTGCTTCCCTTGGGAAGAAGCAGAAGCAAAGTTTACTTCAAGATGTTTTAAATGTAATGAGAAATAAAGGTATAACCCTCTTTCGGTACTCTCTCCTTCCCATAAAAACTTCACTCATTCCTTAAATGGAAGTCCCAAATAAACCGTCCATTTAAGAAATATATTTTAAATTTCTTTCTAAGTCAAGTGGCACATTACACTTCCCTGGCTAGTGGCTACTTATTTTCTAAGAAGTTTGGGAAGTAAATGCTGCAATGTATCAAGGTTCAAAGAAACAACCTCTGTTTTTACGGGTATGATTGCATATAACTTGACCCCTAGACCCTAGCAGGTTTGTAGTAGTAGTAGTAGCAGCAGCAGTTGTCGTATTTCTTTCCAAACCAAACCCACTAATTCGTATCTTTCTTTTCTCTCATTTCTCTTCAACTACCAATTAATATTACTCTACAGTTTATATTTTATCACCCCCTCCTTCCCCTTTCTTGCCTACTTGTTGTCTTAATTACACTGCCTAAACATAATTGCAAAAGAATTTCTGTTTCAGGAGGGTATCGGAAAATAAAGTTTATTACTGGTGCAAGAGTTCCTATTTTGAAGTTTCAGGGAAAGTATGACATCTCCTGTGACATATCGATTAATAATTTGAGGGGCCAAATGAAGTCCAAATTGCTGTATTGGATCAGTACAATTGATGAACGCTTTCGTGGCATGGTTTTACTGGTATGTGCTTTTAAGAAAGAACCCTTTTTCAGGATAAAAATGACATGATTCTGATAATCTGTACTCTTTTCTACAGGTCAAGGAATGGGCAAAGGCCCACAATATCAATGATTCAAGAAATGGAACGCTGAATTCATATTCTCTTAGCTTGCTTGTTATCTTCCACTTTCAGGTATGTTGTTCATGACATTATAACAACACAAGGTTTTGGTTACCTTTCCTACATTTATGTAAATAAAATGTCTTAATCCCTAAGCTACATGCACTTTGACACTTTCTTTCCACTATTTGGGCTAAAACACATTCCATAAAAGGAAGGAAAATTTGAGAACCTGTAGTGCCAGCAAGTCTTATATACATTCATTTCTTCTTCAGTGGAGTTGGAAAAGAATAGTGATTAGTGATAAGTTGAGTATTAAAGTGCCAAGAATAAGCAGGAGTGTAAACTTTCCAGGAAGTAGCCTTTACTGGTGTCATCGAGCACAATATGTTTTGTGGAGTACTTTTGTTTTTATTTAAATCTACTCCGTTAATGTATGGCTTTTTCTTGTTATTTGTAGTGTTGGCTTCCCTTCATATGCATGGTTTATTTATTACTCCTTCCATCTAAAAACAAGTCCTATTTGAAAACTAATTTTTGTCCCAAACAAGTCATAATTGAGCAAACACATAATTGCATAATATATTAAGTTTCTTAATAAAAAAGAATATCCCACACAAGTTTAACATTAAGCTAGTTAAACCAACTAGCGAATTTTAAAATATAGTAACAATTGATGTTATTTAATAGTTGTATTATACGAAGTATTAAAATTCCGAAGTTGTATGTTGTGAGATCAGAGTACCAGACAGTAGACAGACACTTTTTAAAAGGCATGGTAATACTATTTTTCCTTCTCAATTCTTCCATTTGTTTTTGTGCAGACATGTGAACCTGCTATTCTACCTCCACTGAGAGAAATATATCCTGGAAATATGGCGGATGATCTTACGGGTGGGCACTCATCAAGCTGCCTCTTATTTGGGTCTCATCAAGTTGCTTCTTATTAGGGTCTCATCAATTGTTTCCGCTGCACCTTCTCAAGTTAACAAAATTGATATCTTTTCATGTGACATTTATTTTGCTCATAACTAGGTTGAAAAAATTATACTCCATATTTGTATATAACTCTTGATGAGGGGCAGCATTTGAGCAAGATCACATGATCCTCATCCTTATTGCTCCCAACCATGCTTTTGTAGGTGTGAGGGTCACTGCAGAGAAGTATATTGAAGATACATGCGAAAGAAACATAAACCAATATAAATTCGACCGGTACCGAACCCGTAACCGCAGTTCCCTTTCAGACCTTTTCATTTCATTCCTTGCAAAGGTACAAATTTGACAGACTATAACTAATCCCACACGTGTTTCTTTTGTTACTGAATGTGTGGTGAGAGTACTTCTGCAATTGGCTATCAAGCCTAACCATCCTGCATATTGTTTGAAATCTGCTTGTGTAGTTCTGTGACATTAGTGGCAAGGCGTCTGAACAAGGGGTTAGCACCTACACCGGACAGTGGGAAGACATTCAAGGCAACATGAGATGGCTACCTAAAACCTATTCACTATTTGTACTCTCTCTCTCTCTCTCTCACTCTATCCACACACATAAGAGTCACTCAGGAAACCCCTTTAAAGAGTACTCCTGAATCCTGACCAAGAAAATTAGTTACTTTTTGAAAGTTTCCCAGTTGATTGAATGAAAGAATAAAACTATTTGTCTGTTATTTGCCAAAAGGAGTTGCATACATGTTACATACGCAATAAACTTAGCTAACTAATACTCCAGTAAATTTTAATATTAAAGTTGGAATACATATTTATAGTATTTGTAATTTTGGAGTTGCACCTTGGTCAAACAAGGTTTTTTGTTTTTGGAATGGATGTTGTTAACTGGATTACGCTGGGGGCATCGGAAAGTGCCCTGAGAGATTCGAATGATGTGAATCTGATGAAAATATCCTTTAAAAGGTGTTGGAGTTATCCCTCAGCATTCTCTTGGAGGGTGATTCAGGCATTTCCTGAACTTTTCCTGTAGCCTTACTCTTGTAAAACAGCTCATATAAAATGCTAACAGTTATCATTAACTCACATCGATATTAATCCACATCATGATTTGTTCTTTCAGATTGAAGACCCCTTTGAACAGCCTACTAACACAGCAAGAAGTGTAAGCAGCACACAACTGGCAAACATATCTGAAGCTTTTCAGGCGACCTACAATATGCTTACATCTCCCAACCAAGATCCAAATCTGCTCATGTCTAATTTCATGAGGCCACCAATGCCAAATTTTGTGGCGGGAGCACCACCTCCTAGGAACCATATCATTCATCATACTAGAAATCTCATTGGAGACCAACAAAGAACAACAGGTCCGGTTCTGCCCACCCCTCCCCTCACTAGGCCACATGTTCCGAATTGCGTGTGGGGAAGACCTAGCAGAAGTGGAACCCCAGAACAACAAAGGACTCCGAATTTGGTCATGTATACTCACGGGAGGCCTCACAACACAAATTTTGTCCCGCGGAGACCTAAGAATGGCACCAGAGAACGACTGATGAGTCTGAATTCCTTTGCGAATACTTCTGCAACGCCACAGAAGACAAACTTTGTGGAGGAGAAGCTTTCTAGAAACCAGGGAAACAATAGTGGAAATGGTATTGCTGGGATGCATAGTCAGAGAGCCATACAACTGTCCTTACCACACCAGTTTCAAGACATGAGGATCGACGTGCTGCATCCGGATAATGTAGTTCATAGACCTTCCCGGGATCCGCCTGCTCAGTTACAGGCCACAATTCATCGACCTGCCCAGGATTGGTCCCGTCAATCACAGCCGGTATGGAGGCTTAAGCACGACAATAAGGTTAATTGCTGAGTTCTTTCGGGCTGTTTCATTTGTCTCGTGGTTTTTAGAATTTCATCTTATTATTCCTGCGCAAGAAGGCTGCGACGCTAAAGTCATTTGGATTAAAACCCTCTCGCTGTTTCTCTGGTATTTTGGTATGAACACCTAGTCTATCTTTAGCCAATTGATTAGAACTATTATTGGAGAATGTGGTGGTGGTGGTGGTGATGATGATGTTATTGTTATTTGAAGAGTCTTTTGAAGTGTTTACCTATGCAATTTGGTCGTTGGTGACGAGCGTATTTCTTTGTTGGTTAGACTTGTTGACTTATATACTTCCTCCATACCCTAACGGTCAAATTTATTTTATTCACAACATACTATAGAATTTTAAAAAATACAGCTTCGGAGTTTATCAAAAGATGATATTTTTATTTTATACTCTCTCCGTCCCAAAATATTCACAACATTTGTTTTTTCAACAGTCGCGGGAATTTTTGTTTATTTCTACGTTTTCATTGGTTATTTGATAAAATAAAATATTCTTGACACATTTTATTTTGAAGAACTTGGCACATTTTATTTCGAAGAACTTTTCATGTAGTTTTTTGATATGTACATTTTATTTTTTATTTCTATACCAATATGTAAATAAAATGAATTGAAAAAACTTGATATTTTGCCTCGAGAATACAAATGTAGCAAATATTTAGGGACGGAGGGAGTAACATAATCAAAGAGTAAGTACAATAAAGGTTATTGAGAAGTTGTAATAGTATTAGACCCCGTTTGGTACATGGAATTCAAAGTATGAAATTGGAATTGAGAACTTCAATTCCAATTCTGGTGTTTGGTAGCACAAAAATTATGTGGATTTGGAATTTATTGTGCAAAAAATGAATTGAATTGGTGAATTCAATTCTATGAAACTGAATCTCATGGAAATTCAATTCTAATTCAATTCCAATTCTATCAATTCCATATACCAAATAGACCTTTAGTGTAAATCATTTTGGAAGGAAGAGAATACATTATGTGAGTAATTTTGATCTTAAATGTCTTTATTTTATTCAGTTTCCATGTTGGGATTGAACTGCAATAAAATAGAAATAAAAGAAGTTGCTAAGAACTTTGTAACACAAGAAGAGGTATTTCACGCATAAACTTGATCACGGGCTTGGGTAATCTACTCGCTTGCTAAATTGCGGATTTGGTCTTGAAACTTTAGGGTACGGGTCAGGTTTAGGCTTTACAAACATAGGCATGCATACTTGAGGGCCGGACTCGGATTTTATGTTCAATCGGCTGAGAGTCTGATACTATTCTTTGAGCGTAGAAAAAACATTCATATGAAAAATGAGTTTCTTGTTTTAAAAAATAAGATTGACATTGCCAACAACTAAATGAACAATTTTTACAAAAAACGAGCAGAATACTCCGTAATATATATACAAACATATAAAATTAGATAAAATGAGCATGGTTCATAAATTACACTCCCTAACTCACAACTATGAGTATGATCCCTAACATTACAAAACATCATACACACATTTGGATGTAGTATAATATAATTTGGACACATTGTTTATTACGAGTACATTTTTAATACTCGGTATGTTGTTTGACATTGTTTAATACCCTTTGAAATTATTCGTAATATCACTAATCCTCTATTCATTTGATTTATTATAAGTTTTTACAATTTTTCTAGTTTTTTTAGACTTTAATTCAAAGACTAAGAGAACGTTATTTACATAGATTTTTCATAATTATAATGTAATAATATAGTGACAACACGATGATGAAAATAATGATGAAAATAATAGTAATACTTCGTAGTACAGAGTACCCCGTATTTCTTTGACCAAAATACTTCCCCCGTCCCATGTCAAAAGGCACATGATATTTTTTAGAGATTGACTCGAGGCCATACGGTGTTTCTTTCGTAAAAATGACAGTTCTTTGGACCTATTACCCGCAACTTCCACCCCGCGATCCGAACTCACCCCACTCCCTTCAATTGAAGGGGGGGGGGGGGGGTGGGGAAGGAGTGGGTTCAGGTCAGGGTGGGAGGAATATGAATTTTCAATTTTACCAACGAAGTATCGTAGGGCTCCCGGATCATTCCATGACATTGCTAAAGGGTGTTTTGTTAAGATCAATAAATTTTTTAGAAGTGATTGAAAAATTAAAGAGAGTGACTAATAGTGACTGAAAAATAAGAAAAAGTGTGTAAAATTAAATTCAAAAGTACAAAGTATGAAAGAGTGAGTAGAAGTGATTGAAAAGATAAAAATGATTGAAAAAGTAAGAATATTATGCGGAGTATCAAATATAGGGGTGTGTCTTTTGAGATGGGACAACCAAAAAAGTGATATGTGTCTTTTGGCACGAGACGAAGGGAGTATATTATTGTCACCGTTGCACCGTTGTCGCCACAACCACCACTTTGTCACTATTTTTTTATTATAAAAATATAATCTTGAAATTTACGGAGTATATGACTTCGAATTATGTTATCAGAGGACGGGTAGAAGTGGCACCGATGGAGGATAAGCTGCGGGAAACCATGTTGAGGTAGTTCGGGCATGTGAGACATCAACGTGATGAGGCCATAGTGCGGAAGTGTGAGAGGTTATTGGTGGTAGGTGAGAATATGAGCATTGTAGAATTAAAAAGAGGTGATTAGAGTAATTGGATAAATGTGTTGGACTGAGTGGTAGTTTTTCACTTGTTTTATTGTTACGTGCTTCCTTGTAGTGTGCTTTAGGCTTTATATGCCTTTTTTGTCGCAATTTCTTTATTATTCTTTGCTTTTTTGTACCTTTTGTGCTACTTGTGTTACTCAGTTAGAGGTCTTTTGGAAATAACCTTCCATTTTTGAGTTGATGTAATGTCTGGGTACAAATAATTTTTTCAGACTCTACTCTTTGTGAAATTCAATAGAATTGTTGCTGTTGAAATTAATGGAGTACTTTATTACTCACTTCGTCTTAGAATTAATTTCTCAATTTGATTTTCATGGTTAATTTTTTTTAACTTTGATGGCATATTATAAAAAATACATTAAATTTTAATATAAATTTAATACAAATAGATCTATTTGGAAACATTATTTTTAAATATTTTATTTTTATAATATCTATACTATTCTTAAAAGCATGGGAAGTAGCCCCAACCATTTTCGCGCCCATACGCACGGGATTTGTGATCCGTCCATTCTGGATCAACGGTGGTTATAACTGGATGAATATTTACATGCCTAACAAAAATAGTATCGAATAAAATCTATACTATTCTTAAAAGCATGGGAAGTAGCCCCAACCATTTTCGCGCCCATACGCACGGGATTTGTGATCCGTCCATTCTGGATCAACGGTGGTTATAACTGGATGAATATTTACATGCGTAACAAAAATAGTATCTAATAAAAATGGTAGGAAACAAATATTCTAAAATCTTTAAATGCTACTATTTTAATGGATGCTAGACAATCTATACTCCCGCATATGAGTAATAACTAGTATTTTGACCCGTGCGGCGCACGAGGTCGAACAAAATTTTTTGTCGATTCTAAAAATTTTCTTAATGCAATATTTTTCTGCAATTAAGAAAATATACTTCTCACATGATTTTTAAGGAGACAAAAAAATAAAGTGAAATAAATAATATTTAAGGAATTGAATGTGTACACAACAAAAAAATTAATTCTAAATTTTCTAAAAGAGTTCAGTGTATGTAACCTTTTTAGTATGGTTACAAGGGTTTCCATTGTCATCTATGACTAATATTTTTAATCATGTCTTTGTCTTCAGTTGCGAAACAGCAACATAAAGCTGACCATATGTGAACACCAATTTGGTTAAAAATAATCCAACAAATGATAATATTTGACCTTAACTTTTGTTGATAGTCATAGCAAAACATAAGGCTATTGGAAATTGTCTTCTCTCGAACTTCAAGGATAGCCTATATCAGATAGTACCAAATCCATCCGGGATATGTAAACTTTCCACCCCACTCAATTTCTCAAAACCACAATAACACTGATAACGTTCTTTCGCAGCTTGTCAACAATTAATCTTGTACCGTTACACAGTCTAGATGTTTGGTCAATGTTTCTTAATAACATAATTGGTACCCCCATTTTTAAAATTACTTGTGGTTTGGAATCCCCGACCATTTGATTTCATTCAAAAAACTCAACTGTTATCCAATCGCCATCAATACCTACATTTGGATCTGCCTGACATGAAGAATCAGAACTCAAGCGCACATCATTTCATCTTCGGAGAATGAGTGATATGATAAATTCATTTACCATTTCTACAACTCTAAGAATGGGTGCCAGTAGTGGCTTGTCCTCGAAAAAAGAATAACTTTTCTTATTCTCTAATAAGTTCAGATAAGTGAAGTTCACTATATTCTTGAGGGGGGACTCATGTCTAGAATCAAGAATTTAGGCGAAATTTCAACGTCAGTTGTTCCATCAATCACTTGACCAAGCTCTCCATCTCTAATTTTATTATCCAATAAAAAAGCTTGTGTGTCTCTATATGCGCAACATGATGTAGATGAATGCAATTTTATATTCTTTGTCAACGTATAAACTTTACAATACGACCACAATTTTGAAAAATTGATGGTAGCACATACAATTTCCTCTCTCGAAGCTCTAGGTAAAACATGAAAAATTTGTTGAAAATTACCTCCGAGTAAAACCGCTTTCCATCCGAATGGTTCATTTATGGAGCTTTTATTAGGGAACATCATTACATCTCTCATTGTACAATCCAATGCCTCAAAAGTAAATCTATTCATCACACACGCTTCATCTCATACGATTAGACTTGCTTATTGGATCTGTTTTTTGCTTTCGGGCTCCCTTGTTTGATGGCACATTTTGAGCACTCAATTAGTGCTAGAGGAATTGAGAATCTAGAGTATGTTGTCTTTCCCCAGGCAAAAGCATTGTTACAATCACACTTGATGTGACATTTAAGACAATCTTACCATTTGACCTCAAAGAAGCAGACAGTGATTTCCCAGGAAATGTTTTCCTAGTTCCACAGAAACTTTACACAAAAGAATCAAGTAATATTTGAGTACATTGTTTATAATATCATATACGCATAATTAGTTAATACACAAAGATATTTGTCGTATGATTACCTTCATAGAAATTAATAACACATGTTA